TGAATGTGGAAAGGCTTCCACTCTGATGAAGCCACTCTGTTATTGGGGACAGGCTGGGAAAGCCCACCTTGAAAAGTCTGCCCTGGTCCACTTCCGGCCTGAGTCCCAGGCCCAGAGCACAAAACAGAAGCAGCAGGACCCCCCACCACCACCACCAAGGGCTGGGCCATCTTCCTATTGGTTCACTGTCACTTCAGACAACTACTTCACCCCTCTGTGCCTCTGACCATGTGAGAGTGCTGAGTCCCAGTTCCAAGACACAGCAGTTGTTGCTGGTGAGCTGTCAGGTCAGAACCAACCCACAGCTTACTCTCCAATGTTGTTTAGAAGCAGTAAATTGCACAAGAGGAGATTGCCCATCCTCCACCCATACAGCGCTGGGTTCGGGACTGTTTGTTGCCTTTGGGACTGCAGCTCAGCATCTTACCACTAGGTCACCAAAGCTCCTCGACACTGCAGAGCTATAAAAGTCATTTAGGGGTATCAGGACTCAGAGGCAAGAATATAAAAAGGCAGCATCTGAAATTCAGAGGAATCTTGGCAAGGTCATATTTCCCAACACGTAGAATGGAGGTCTAAGCCAATCCCAGACCTCGAGAGGCTGATGGATCTCCATTGACGACTTGTTACAGTAAGGTGCTGCTTTTAGGTGATGTCAAGTTGAGTAAATTAGGGACATATAATTGTTCTTCTGTGTCTATTTTCCTATCACATAACTGAGAAGAGGCAATCGTGATTGTCAAGTACTATGAGACTTATGACATGCTAATTGCTTTATGTTGTTATTTGCCATTGAGACTCCTGCAACTCATAGCAACCCTATGTACAGCAGCTCTGAACCCTTCCCTGTCCTGAGCCAGTCTCATCACTAATTCCAACACACCAACCCCCATTGACCCTGTTACTGTGTCAATCCATCTCATCCAGGGTCTTGCTCTCCTGCGCTGTCTCTCCACCCTTCCAAGCATATTCTTCTCCAAGGATCAGTCGCTCCTGGCCACATGCCCAAATTATGTGAGGCAGAGCTTCAAAAGCCCTATGTACAGTAGAGCACACTTAGAGTAATTGCTTTATATCTGCTTTAAATCTCAAAACATCCCTGAGAGGAAACTGTCATCATCCCCATTTTATGGATGAAGAAACTGAAGCTTAGAGAGAAATAATTCCCAAAGTCACACAGCTAGTAGATCACAGACTAAACTCTTTGGCATTCTCCTCCAATGCATTCCAGCTTCAGCTGTTTACTCCTTTCATAACACAGAATGTTATAATCTAAAATATAACTTTGAAGTTGTTCATGCATCCCACTCTGCAAAAAACTTCCTCCCCTCCCAGCTGGCTCCTTCATGACTGTGCTCTATACTGTTCTTTGTCTTTATCTGGGGGTGCCATTGAATCAAGCACGACTCATTATCACCCTGTGAACAAAAGATCTGAACGTAGTCCTGTCCTGCACTGTCCTCACACTTCCTAACACATAAGAGCCCATTGCAGCAGTAACTGTGTCAATCCACTGGGTTGAGGGTCTTCCTCTCCTTTGCCGACCCTCCACCCTTCCCAGCATCATGTCCTTCTTCAAGGAATAGCCCCTCCTAACAACATGCCCAAAGTACATGATGCGAAGCCTCATCATTCTTGCCTCCAAAGAGCACTCTGGCTGCACCCTCTCCAAGATGTATCTGTTCATTTTCTTGGCCATCCATGGGATGTTCAGTGCTCTTCTCCAACACCACAATTCAAGGGTGTCAATTCTTTTTCTGTCATCCTTATTCACTGTCCAGGTCCCGGATTCATAGCTAGTGATCAGAAACTACGCACCTCAGTCCTCACACTGACGTCAGTGGGCCTCCATTATCCCCCCACTTTCTCTTGCCACCATCTTCTCATCTACCTCTGAATTCAGGGCTTGCCAGTCAGTAGCATTCTTGCCTATAATCTAAACTTCACTGTTCACTTTCCAAGCAAACATCTGGACATGTGCTATTGTCATTTCTCTACAAGCTTGTGCTAGAGAAGCCAAGAGAGGCAGAGAGAGGAGAGATGGTCATAAAACAGGCTAATGCTTAATACAGCACACACTGTGCCAAACGCTAAGTGCTTTGTGTATCGTTACTCATTTCACCCTCTTAACGTTATGAAGTAGTGACTATTATTACCATCCTCATTTATGAATAAAGAAAATGAGGTAAATCAGAGGTTAAATTCAGAGTCCAATTCTTAATCAGCCCAGCAAACTGAAGAATCCAAGGCCACCTTCCCCGCATCAGGGCTTGCCTCCTTCTTCCTTGAGTTTAACATTGCTCTCACCCCCTCAGGGTTTCAACTCAGGAGATTAAATAAGACCAGTAAGAAATCTACTAGCTTCTATGTTCCACCCTCACTTTACATATATCAACAGCCTTATGATGTGGAAAATATCGTTAGCCTCAGTTTACTGAAGGATGTGGAGGCTGCACTTATTCATTCATTGCTGTCAAGCCTGAACCAACTCGTAGCTGACGTTCCAGTAGGATTTCAGAGGCTATTAATCACACGGGAGAATGCCCATCCTTCTCCTATGGAGACATTTGAGTGGTGAATTTGAACCACCTGTCTTTGGGTTGGCAATGCAACTCCTTACCCGCCAGAGCTCTCTAGAAGTTGAGTAAAACTAAATTTTTATGGTCAATTGCGAAGCTTTACTACAGGAGGTGAGAAACACAACACACACACACACCCCAACTCTAGCTTCTAAGCATGACCTTTTCTCTACCTTCTTTCTGGCCCCAAGGTCTGGATTCTTTTGCATGAAGAAGTAAGGCCTTCCCTGACTCCCATAAGGCTGGTTCCCCCATCCACGCTAGGCCTTACTTACTCTGTATGCCCCTTGAACCCTGCTGAGGAAGCCCAACTAAGCTTAAGAGACACTGGTCAAAAGGGGAAACCTAATCTACACAGAAGTTCTACAGGACACGGCACCTTCCCGGGGAGACAGCACAACTAAACTTAAGAGACACTGGTCAAAAGGGGAAACCTGAGTCCTCTCCATTTCTGGTTCTGATCACCCAGCTGTGAGCTTGTTGGAGGGAGGGAGAGGAGGGGAACGCCAGCAGGAACTCCATAGGCTCAGCTCCAGGAAGCTAAAAGCCAGGTCTAGCACCAGTAGGACAATCTGTGTGCTTGGTCCTCCAGGACCCCTTGAAAGTTAATGCCTCGCTGGACTTGGGCCCCTCCTAATGCAAAGCCAGCTCAGACTCTTATTTGGCTTCCAGGGGACAGCTGCAGGAGTAGGGTGGGGTCCAGCCTGGGGTCAATGCAGTTCCAGGTCAATGGCTGCAACAGAAAGCACGGAGGCTTCTCAAGCCTTCTCCCCTCTTCATCCAAGTGGCCCACCTTGCCCAGGCAGGTTCATAGCGCTCTAAGAAGCCACCCATCCCACCCTTCTCATTCACTCTCTTTTCATTCCCCTGGCAACCAAACCAGACCCATCAAGGAGAAGGACCTGGCAGCTGTGCAGGGAGAGACTAATGGCCCGGAAGGAAGGAGGGGCCTGAAGAGGCAGGCAAGGCCCATCTTAGAGGACACACAAAGCCGAGGAGGGCGGGGTTCTCCGCCCTGCAATGCTGAGGAGCTGGCCGCCAGGGAGCCGCCCTCCTTCCTTCAGAGACCCAGCCAGCCCCCCAAACCTGCTTCCCCAGTACCCCAGATCTCATCCTAGGGACCAATTTGAGATGGACCTGTCCCTGCCAGATAGCTCTATGTTTCCTGGCAAAGCTAGCAGGCACCCTGGTTCCTGCAGACCAATCTGAGCTTGCTTCTGGTCATTCCTGTGCGTTCTGGAAGCCATTTGACATGCAAACACCAAGCATCAGTCTGCCTGTTGATAACTCTAAGATAGGGGAGGGTGGGATGCTTGCTTGTGTGCAGGCCTGTGTATGTAATGGCTGTGTGTGATATGCATATGTGTCAGTTTGCGCACACAGTGGTGGCTCTATTCTGGGCCCTTCCCTCTCTTTTTTCAGTCCCTGAACCTTTGGAGGTGATCATATTCTCTTTCCCCACCTCTCCCCTGTTGGCTCTGCTCATCCCTGGTACCAGTAACTCCCCAACACTGAAAACCTTTTCCTGCCCCTCCATCCATCTTTCAGCCTTGGCAGCAGCCGCAGCCCCTCACTCCCCTCCCCCTCTTACCTCAGGAATCGCCCTGGTTCCCGGAAGGCCAGTGACTGAGCAGCAGTTGGTAGGGGGAAGGGAGAAGCCAGCAGAACCGGACAGTTTACAGCCACCCCACTCTCACAGTGCGATCTCCAGCAGGACCCAACCTCTCTCGTGGGAAGTAGGTCTGGGCCCAGACATCCTCAGCCCCACTGGATGTTTCTCTCCACTGAGGCCTAGGGTGGGTCAGGGTCTGGGGGCTGTGTCTTTAAGACTGAGATACAAGCAGGCAACCTTAACAAGGCCAAGTGTGTAGGGCAGGGGGAGGGGAGATGGCCAGTCCATTAGCTGCAGAGCTGGCGCCAGGCATGGCCCTTCAGAGGTCCCAGCGGACAGAGAAAGACCAGCCCCCCCCCATTTCTCCCTGGGTGTGGCTGACAGCAGGTGAAAACAGCCAAGCCAAGTCTCTCTCCATCTGGGTTGCCTCTTTACCCAGTGCTGGAAGCCTGACCTTTGACCTCATCCTTCTATTTCCCCCAGTTTTTACCAGCTCTTTCAGGGAGGGACCCCGCTGTATCAGTCCCTCCCATACTCCAGCTCTGGCTGCATGCTAGAAGGTACTGACCACCGTCCCCCTCTCCCCCGCTTGGCCTGCCTGTGCTCAACATCCTTGCTTCCCTTCTCAGCAGCAACAGGGGGACTAGTAAGTAGGCCTGGAGCCAGCAACCGGTGGAGGGCGGGTGAGGCGCTCCCGCCGCTCCACAGGGTGGGGCGTCCCCCTCCCCACACAGCCATCAAGCCAGTGGGAGGAGCTGCCCCTGTCCCCCTTTACCCCCCTCCCCGAGCCCGAAGGCCTATAAAGCCGCCTGGCAGTTTCTTTCCAGTTCCTGGCCTAGCTCTGCAAGAAGTGCCTGCCCATCCTCAGCCACCATGAGCCATCCGTCAGGCCTCCGGACCAGCATCAGCTCGACTTCATACCGCCGCACCTTCGGGCCACCGCCCTCGCTGTCCCCCGGAGCCTTCTCCTACGCGTCCAGCTCCCGCTTCTCGAGCAGTCGCCCGCTAGGCTCCGCGTCCTCCGGCTCCTCGGTGCGTCTGGGCAGCTTCCGCGGCCCTCGGGCCGGCGCGAGCGCCCTCCTGCGACTGCCCTCGGAGCGCCTCGACTTCTCCATGGCCGAGGCGCTCAACCAGGAGTTTCTGGCCACGCGCAGCAACGAGAAGCAGGAGCTGCAGGAGCTCAACGACCGCTTCGCCAACTTCATCGAGAAGGTCCGCTTTCTGGAGCAGCAGAACGCCGCCCTGCGCGGGGAGCTGAGCCAAGCCCGGGGCCAGGAGCCCGCCCGCGCCGATCAGCTGTGCCAGCAGGAGCTGCGCGAACTGCGGCGCGAGCTGGAGCTGCTGGGCCGCGAGCGCGACCGGGTGCAGGTGGAGCGCGACGGGCTGGCGGAGGATCTGGCGGCGCTCAAGCAGAGGTCAGGGGGCAGGGACATGGGTGGCGTCTCTGTGTTCTCCTCCCGGCCCCAGTGACTCAGGCCCCTCTTTTCCTCCCCTGAAGAGCGGGGTTTAAAAGCCTTCCCTGTGCATCCTCTTAGACGGTTAGAGAGAAACTCCAGATCAGCAGCCTCTGATCTGTATCCTAGAGAACTCCATCTGTCTGAGGCAAGACGTGCAGGGTCTCATCCCCTACCCCCAGCTCTGCCTCTCCCACCTTCCTCCTCTAGGTTGGAGGAGGAGACACGCAAGCGGGAGGACGCTGAGCACAACCTGGTTCTGTTCCGCAAGGTGAGCCGGGGGTTCCCCACCACGAGTTATACCTCTTCGCCGATACCCCTGGCAGTGCTGGGCCCAGAAAAGTGCCTCCCCAAGCATTTAGGAGAGGGCTGGGCCCTTCCTCTGCTTAAATGTTTCCCCTGTTCTCTTGAATTCTGTCACGCCACAAAGGACGTGGACGATGCTACTCTGTCCCGTCTGGAGCTGGAACGCAAGATTGAGTCTCTGATGGATGAGATTGAGTTTCTCAAGAAGCTGCATGAGGAGGTGGGCAGGGCTGCGATGGACCTGGGGATCAGGGAGGCGTCCAGGGGGTGGTGTGGTCTTGTTAGAACTGCAGAGGCAATGCTCTGGAAGAGGTGCCAGGCAGAGTGAAAGAATTACCCTGCCCCCGGCGCGCCTGCCCGTTGTGCCGGGGGGTTAAGCTGCTGCGCAAGAGCATGAGTTCGCGCATAACTGGGGGCCCAGCCCGCTGCAGGCGGCCCTTTTAACCGCGAGCGACAGGGCGGCGGACCAGGCCTCTGCCGGGGTTCGCCTCTTGGGTCTCAATTCTTAGGATGATCCCTTTGGGAACGGATAGTAGACTCCTCGGCTAATTGCGTTTCCTGTGTGTGTTGTCATCCAATAAACTTTAGGTGTTATTGAAAAAAAAAATTACCCTGAGGATTAAAAGTGTGCGAATAGACAGGATCAATGAAACTCCTTCTACAGGTGGTTTGACTCCCACCCCTGCGCCTCCTATTGGCGTGCTGCAGTGCTGCAGCCCTGTGTCTTGGCAGTTAAGCGCGAGCCCGGCTCTAGAGCCGCGCAGCCTGGCGCGCACCCTACTCGCTGGCGCCCCCTTCTGTTAATTCGTGTGCTTCTCTTTTCCGTGCGCTGACCTCACCGTGGGTTCTGCGCTCGGGGCTTGCATCTGCCTCCCTTCACAGGAGCTTCGAGACTTGCAGGTAAGTGTGGAGAGCCAGCAAGTGCAGCAGGTGGAAGTGGAGGCCACGGTGAAGCCAGAACTGACGGCAGCACTGAGGGACATCCGCGCGCAATACGAGAACATAGCGGTGAAGAACCTGCAGGAGGCAGAAGAGTGGTACAAGTCTAAGGTGCGAGAGTCCGTGAGGGCCTGGAGGGTAGCACCCCGGGGTGAGGAAAGCATTCACGTCCCACTTGTCCCCTGTGCCACAGTACGCAGACCTGTCCGACGCCGCCAACCGGAACCACGAGGCGCTGCGGCAGGCCAAGCAAGAGATGAACGAGTCCCGACGGCAGATCCAGAGCTTGACGTGCGAGGTGGATGGGCTCCGCGGCACGGTGAGTGACGGCTGCGCGCCCGGGGCTGGGGCGCAGGAGCTGGAGGCCGAGTCCCCAGGGCGCTCATCTCCTGCCCCCAGAACGAGGCGCTGCTCAGACAGCTGCGGGAGCTGGAGGAGCAGTTCGCCCTGGAGGCCGGGGGCTACCAAGCGGGCGCGGCGCGGCTGGAGGAGGAGCTGCGGCAGCTGAAGGAGGAGATGGCGCGCCACCTGCGCGAGTACCAGGAGCTCCTCAACGTCAAGATGGCCCTGGACATCGAGATCGCCACCTACCGGAAGCTGCTGGAGGGCGAGGAGAGCCGGTGGGGAGTGAGGGTCGGGAAGGGGGTGGCGGAGCAGAGCGAGCGGGTGGGCGCCTGGACAGAGGAGGCACTGACCAAGTGCTTTCCTCCAGGATCTCTGTTCCAGTCCATTCCTTTGCTTCCTTAAATATAAAGACGACTGGTGAGTCATACTAACGCAAGACTTCCAACCTATACCTCCCTCTTGTCTGCTTCTGTCATCGCACTCTAACCGTGGCTCCCCTAAGGAATCGATTCTCCTCTGGGGACAACTGCGGCCTGGATCCCATTTGCCCTACTCCTCCCGCCCCGTCCCTGTCCCTTACTTTACAGACTGCAGTCGTGGGGTGGTCATAAAAAGAGAGCTACCCTAAGCTTCTGGTCCCCTCATCCTGATTTCTCTAGTGCCTGAGGTGGAGCCTTCCCAGGACAGCCACAGCCGGAAGATGGTCCTGATCAAGACCATTGAGACCCGGAATGGGGAGGTGAGACGATTCCCCTCATGCGCACGTCCTTCGTTTCTCATATCATTTGTGTGCCCCAGTCTGGCTGCAGCTGATAGGAAGGTGTTCTGAATGGGTGATTTCTTTCAAGGGCTGAGGGGAGAACATAGAAAAGGTGCGTGGCTAGATAAACTGGAGCTTCCAGTGCTTTAGTCAAAGAAGGGACATCATGACCCCAAAGGGCAGGAGGAAGAGCTCTAGTGAGTGGCTCTACCCCTTCCATGGCTTGTCTCCAGCAGGTGGTGACAGAGTCACACAAGGAGCAGCGCAGTGAGCTAGACAAGGCTTCTACCCACAGCTACTAAACTCGTGAATGGAGCGCCCTGGCTCTGCCCCAGGCCTGCTGGAAGCCCAAACCCTAATGGCTCCTCTCGCCCTTAGTTAGTCTGCTTTCTTCTGCATATATCTGGGTTGTGGCTTCACTCACCCCTTCCCTGGCTCCTCACTAAGCCCTCTGCAGCCGGGAATAAATAGTCTTGCCCCTGTGAATAACTGTGACCCATATTCCCTCCTTTTCATGTCCTGCAAAAGAAGCCATATATCTCAGGACAAGTCCACCTCTACGAATAATCCCATGATCAAAAAGGTATCTAGAGTCCGTGTTTCACTTTTGAACCAAATAAAATGACTGTGGAGAAACTTGTCCCTTGTCTTTGTTTCTGTGGGAAGTAGGGTGCCTCAAGGGAGGCGGCTTAGCAATATTTTCACTTTGTCATCAATTTTCTGGCTCCTGGTGGCTTAGTGGTTAAGAAACTGCCCTGCGATCCCTAAAGCACGCCGTTAGAATCCACCAGCTGCTCCTTGGAAGAAGGATGGGCAATCTCCTTCCATGCAATTAACTGTGTCTGAAAACCCGCAGACGGTCAGCTATGGGTCGGTTCTGATTTGACAGTACACAACACCACCACCACCAGTAACCCTCTTTTGTGTATATTTTTCTGGCTTTTCCTCTAGCTTTCTGTCTGTTCCATGTCAACCTTTGTTCCCACCTGTAAACCTGAAAGCCCACGTGCCTGCTAGATGGGCAGCGTCATCAGGTGCCACTGAGTCAACTATGACTCATAGTGTCCCTGTTAACAACAGACCAGAACTTTGCCCCACCCTTCGTCATCCTCACAGTCTCTACAATGCTCAAGGCCATTGTTAAGGTCACTGTATCAATCCATCTTATTGACAATATGCCCAAAGTATGAGAGACAAAGTTTCACCATCTTTTCCTCCACACCCTGGTTGCGTTTCTTCCAAGATAGATTTGTTCATTCTTTTGGCAATATATTCAATACTCTTCTCCAACACCATAATTCAAAGACATCCATGCTTCTCTACTCTTATTTCATTATTCAGTATTCAACTTTCACATGCCAGGAAGCAATTGAGAAAATACCATGATTTGGGTCAGGCACACCTTAGTCTTTAAAGTGACTAAGCAGCTTAAAGACATCCTTAACAGCAGGTCTTCCCACCACAATATGTATTTTTATTTCCTGCCTGCCACTACCTGGTTCTGTCCCAAGCCTGCTGGAAGCCCAAACTCTAACGCTAGTCCTTAGTTAGTCGGCCTCCTTCTGCATACATCTGGGTTGTGGCTTCACTCACCCCTTTCCTGGCTCCTCACTAAGCCCTCCCCAGCTAGGAATAAGTAGTCTTGCCCAGATGAAATCCTTGAGAACTTCAGTATCTATCTGGCGTAACATTGATTTTTCATCCAGTACTGAGGACTGTTGCTTTCTTGATGTTGAGGTGTAATCCACATTAAAGGCCATAGTTTTCCATCTTTTTCAGTGAATGCTTTAAGTCTTCTCCACTTTCTGTACGAATGATTGTGTAATGTGCATACTGGAAACAAACTGACTACATCTGTAGAGAGACAGTGGGAAAGCTCAGTATTAATAGTCAAACATGGCCGGCGGCTGAGGAACAGATCATCAATAACGCCTGTGCAAGTTCAAACTGAAGTTGAAGAAAATTAAAACAAGTCTACAAGAGCTGAAACACAACCTTGAGTTTATCTCACCTGAATTTAAAAACCACCTCAAGAATAGATTTGATGTATTGAATACTAATGACTAAAGACATCATCCACAAAGAAAGTAAAAGGTCATTAAAAACACAGGGTTGAGGGGAGGAAAGGCAAAATGAATGTCAGAAGAGACTCTGGAACTTGCTCCTTAACGTTGCTATTGTTATTGTTTTGTGCTGATAAGTCAACTATGACTTATAGTGAACCTATGAACAACAGCTGTGACCCTTGCCCTCTCCTGAGCTCACCTCACAGTCTCTGACACACCTGACCCCATTGCTACAGTCCCTGTCAATCCATCTCATCCAGGATTTTCCTCTCCTGCACTGACCCTCCACCCTTCCACTATGGCATACTTCTCCAAGGACTGGCCCCTCTTTACAACATGTCCAAATGAGACAGAGGTTCAAAATCCTTGCCTTCAAGGAGCAACCTGGTTTTGCCCTCTCCAGGATGAACCTGTTTGTTCTCTTAGCAGTCCATGGTATGTTGAGAAGTCCATGGCCTGGATCAGGCACATCTTAGTCTCTAGACTGACATTGCTGCTTTTTAACACTCTGGAGATGTCCCTGAGAGCAGAGTTTTACAGTGCACCTCATCTTTTGATTTCCTGATTTCTGGTGCCAAGGGTTTTGATTGTGGATCCAAGCAAGAGAAAATAATTTAACAACTTCAATCTTTTCTACCATGATACACCTCTTGGCCCAGTGATGAAAATTTTTGTTTTCTTGATGTTGAGATGCAATCAAAATGAAGGGGGGAATGATGAAGTAAGCTGAACAGAAGATTTCAAAGAACATCTTGAGAAGACAAATCAAGGTATTATAAACAAAATGTGAAAAGACCTGGAGTTAGAAGACCAAAAAGGAAGAGTACATCAGGCATTTCTCAAACTGAAGGAACTGAACAAAAATTCAAGCCTTAAGTAGCAATACTGAAGGTTGTCCCGTGTTGTTGTTGTTAGTTGCTGTTGAGTTGAGTATGACTCACAGCAACCCTATGAACAACAGATAGAACGCTGTTCTATCTTGTGAGGTCCCCATCATCTCTGGCACACTTGAGCCCACTGCTGCAGTCATTGTGTCAGTTAATCTTGTTGAGGGTCTTTCTCTCTTTTGCTGACTTTCCACCTTGCCAAACACGATGTCCCTTTCCAAAGAACAGCTTCTCTTAGCAACATGCCTAAAGTATGAAAGACAAAGCTTCACTGCCCTTGTCTCCATGGGATATTCAGTACTCTTTTCCAACACCACAACTCAAAGGTATCAATTCCTCTTCAGTCATCCTTATTCATTGTCTAGCTCTCAGATGCATAGCAAGAGACTGAAAAAACCATGGCCTGAATAAGGTGCAGCTACTGCCGCTTTAGAAAAGAGAGATGACTTCCCAGAGAAGATGGCACCATACCCAACACTGAAGAACAGCAGGAATTGGCCAAGTGAAGTACAGAGAGGAGAGTACTGCCTAGGGAGAGAAACCAGCCAGGAAATAAGAAAGAGCAAGTCTGGGAACTGAAGGTATTTCTGTAATGATGATATGAGGGCTAGAACAGGAAAAGCAGTGCTGAGACCAAAAAGATGATGGAAAGGCTAGGTCAGGGAGGGCTTATGCATCATATTAAGGCATTCAGAATTTATCCTTAAAACAGCTATGAGATACATCTCACCCCAGTCAGAATTGCAAAATTTAACAGAACAGCAAGCAACAAATGCTGGCGAGGTTGTGGAGAAACTGGAACCCTTATT